TCAACCCGTTAGGTCTCAATAAGCAGCCATCTTCACTCAAAGCGTCTATGTGTCTGGCACTATCCAACATCACTCAACTCGTGAGATTTCAGTATGTAGCTATCCCCACTCAGCGCGTCTATGTGTCTGGCAAACTCAAAAAATAATCCATCTGTGAGGTTTCAGTATGCAGCTATCCCCGCTCAGCTCGTCTATGTGTCAGGCAATCTCCAACACAAATCACCTGTGAGGTTTCAGTATGCAGCTATCCCCATGCAGCGCGTCTATGTGTGTGGCAAACCCAAAAAACAATCCATCTGTGAGGTTTCAGTATGTAGCTATCCCCACTCAGCGCGTCTATGTGTCTGGCAAACTCAAAAAATAATCCATCTGTGAGGTTTCAGTATGTAGCTATCCTCACTCAACATGTCTAGATGTGTCCGGCAATCTCCAATACAAATCAACCTGTGATGTTTCAGTATGTGTCTTTCCTCACTCGAAGCGTCTGTGTCCGGCACTATCCAGCATCACTCAACTTGTGAGGTTTCAGTATGTAGCTATCCCCACTCAGCGCGTCTATGTGTCTGGCAAACTCAAAAACCAATCCATATGTGAGGTTTCAGTATCCAGCTATCCCCGCTCAGCTCGTCTATGTGTTTGGCAAACTCAAAAACCAAGTCATCTATCTGCGAGGTTTCAGTATGCAGCTATCCTCACTCAACACGTCTAGGTGTCTCGCAATCTCCAATACGAATCACCTGTGAGGTTCAATATGTGTCTATCCTCATTCAACGCGTCTATGTGTCCGGCACTCCAACATCACTCAACCCGTGGGGTTTCAGTATGCAGCTATCCCCACTCAATCCGTCCATGTGTTTGGCAATCTCAAAACCTCACTCAACCCTTGGGGTTTCAGTATACAGCCATAATCACTCAACACGTCAATGTGTCCGGCAATCTCCTACATCACTCAACCTGTGAGGTTCCCGTAAGCAATACTCACTCCACGCATCCATGCGTCACGCGTCTTGGGTAGTGCATGCTATGGGGGCTATATTTGGGGTGGCGTGTTTTACAGCGCTTTGCCAACAGCGCCAACCCACGTAAGTCTAGATTGCGGGGGGGGGGGGGGG